TTCCTTTCCTTTCCTTTCCTTCTTTCCTTTCCTTTCCTTTCCTTCCCTTCCCTTCCCTTCCCTTCCCTTCCCTTCCCTTCCCTTCCCTTCTTTCTTGACTCTTTTTTTAACTGCCTCTTACATATTGGTGTCTGTTCATCCTTCTCTAGCTTTGCTTTTCCTTAGAGGGCTCATTCACATCCTTCATTTCAACTACTACCAATGAGTTTTTGATTCCCCAAACCATATTTTAAGATCAGATACTTTTCATGGGCTCTAACCCCAATGTACCAGTACTATTAGCTGGACATCTCGGTATGGATGTCTGAAACTCAACATCTCTAAAACAGTTTATTTTCTACAAATTAATGACTGTTGTGTATTCTTTATTGTGTAAGTATTGTAGCCAGCTTCTAAAGTGGTCCCAATGATTCTCACCTGGTATTTATTCCCTTTTACCTATAAATTGTGCCTAATAAACTAGGCGATCTGAAAAGATTTCCACGTGGAATGTCAAAGTGCTGTCTGGTCTCCTTCTGCTGATTACAGTAAAGTGCAGGAGAGTGAAGGTTAGGATGATAAACATGACAGGCATAGGAATTGCTGGTTTTGAGGATTATCAGCCTCCTTGGTCAGTTGATGCTAGAATTGAGACATGGCTTTCTGGCAAAGATCAAATTCAGAGCTCTGCCTGGAAAACAAGGTCTAAAGATGAAGCTGATGTGGAATCTCAGAGGGAAGGCAGGGATGGGTGGGTGGGAAGAGATCAACCAAAGAACTGTATGCATATATGCATAACCCATGGACACAGACAATAGGGTGGTGGAGGCCTGGGGTAGGGTGTGGGCGAGGGCAATAAGGGGTCAATGGGAGAAAAAAGGGGACATGTGTAATACTTTCAACAATAAAGATTTAAATTAAAAATAGATGAAGCTGAGGATGTGGCTTTTTACAGATCTTTTAAGATCTTAGAAAGATTCAGAGTGGTGCCTTACAAATTTATCTAGACCAGCAATGGGACTTCCAGAAGCTTAAGGGTGGTGTCCCTCAGTCATCTCTGCAGACCAAGATAGATAAGGTGTTCTTTTGAAGGGATTTGTGGGTGTGCCTTTTTGGTGTATCCAATGAAGTCCAATACCATTCACAGAAGACAGGATATATTTTTTTTAAATATATTTTATTGATTTTTTACAGAGAGGAAGGGAGAGGGATAGAGAGTTAGAAACATCGATGAGAGAGAAACATCGATCAGCTGCCTCCTGCACACCCCCCACTGGGGATGTGCCCGCAACCAAGGTACATGCCCATGACCGGAATCGAACCTGGGACCCATCAGTTCGCAGGTCGACGTTCCATCCACTGAGCCAAACTGGTCAGGGCTAGACAGGATATTTTTGAGAGAATTGTATTTTCAGAAACACCCAAACTTCAACTGAAAGGGAGAGAGGACTGTGAAACTAAGAGACTTATAGTTCCCCAAATTTTAATGGGGAGGAAGCCGACTGAGAAATCTAACACTGCTGCAAACAGAAGCTGCTTTTCAAAGAAATGGAAAAATGATATTCAAGGTGAACCAAGCGTTCAGAGGGTAAAGCAAAAAATGAAGAAGTATTTCCTGGCCTGAAATTCTAATGAGTGGCTCACCCCACTAATCTATGCTTTGCAGGATTTCAGAATTTCAGTGGCATTCATTTCTACACACTTGGAACTGGAGTTACCCTATACCTGTTTTGGGGAGTGGGGCAGGTTAGGTAACTTGTTTTATTAGTTCATTGGCATTTAAGTTGAGAGGAACTGTGCTCAAGGGCTATACTTAAGGAACTATACCTGAGGCACCGCATGAGTACCTGGATCTGATTTAGATGATGCAATTCCAGGTTGTGAGCTCACCTTATAAAGGGATGAGAGTTTTCTGCACCTTGGGAAGGGTTAGTGAGGACATGAATCATTGGAGCCAGAAAGTGAACTATGGTCTCCAATCCCCAGATGGTCCCCCATAATTCTCACCCCCTGCTATTTATATTCTTAGTCCTCCCTACAATGAATAAGGCTGACCTGTGTAACCAGCAGGACAAGAGGCAGTGATGGAGTGTGACTTTCAAAGCTAGGTTATGAGACATTGCAACTTCCATCTTGTTTTCTCTTGGATGGTTCACTCTATCAAGCAGCTCTGTGGAGTTGTCTATTTCCACAAAGAACCGAGGCTTCCTGCCAACAACCAGCCCTGATTTGCCAGCTGTCTGAGGCAGCCACCGTAGGAGCAGCTTCTTCAAGCCTCCAGTCAGCCTTCAGATGACTGCAGCCCCACCTGACATCTGTCTACAACCCAAGAGACCCTCGAGCCACAACCATCAAGTTTAGGCCACTCCCAAATTCCTGACCTTCAGAAACTGTGTGTAATCATAATGTTTATTGTTTTAAGCTGCTGAGTTTTCGGACAACTTGCTCTGCAGCAGTAGATAATCTGTAGAGATACTACAGCAGACTCATATAACTCTGGGAATCTGTAAATTTCTGTGGCTTCCTCCTCTTGCCTCAGTTATTATAGCAAGTACTGTTCCTGACTCATTAATCTCTCTCTAATTTACCCTTCTGCCCTCCACCACACAGCTGTTCATGACTGCCCTCATAATTGATTCAAGGCCAAAGGGTGGAGAGGGGATTTGAGAGAATATGAAAATCTTCAGCCATCCTGCTATTTCTGTTTATGTAGTGTTTGTTTTTATACATAGTTATAGAAGAACTTAAACCTAAAGGAGCTATATCAGATCTCCAGGGATCAGCTTTTTGGGGGGCTTATTTTTAAGAAGCCACCTTTGGTCCTCAAGGTGTAGGAATTACCGATGTTTAGAGCAGGCTTTTGACATGAAGTATTTTATGTAAGCTGGGCTATGAAATATTTGTGTGGAGGGCTGGGTTAGGAGCGGCTGGGCTTCCCTGCCCCTGCAGACACAAGTGTGTGCCCTTGGTAACGGTTTACAGATCCACAAACTAATCACAGAAGCGGAAAATGGGGCCAGAAAGGTTAATATTTCCAAAGCCACATAGTTGGTTGCTGACAGAACTAACTTGGAGTCCTGGCTATCTGTCCAGTGAGATAAGATTTGTTTCAGGTTTGTCCTTTGTTTTTACTTTGTCTTTGTGAGTTGCATGCTTCCCTTTTAATATGTTGAACTGGGTGTGGTTTCTTGATGTTTCATCAGACACGAAAATGTTATAATTTTGTATCTCCCCTTAGGCAACTCTCTGAAATCGCATAAAATAAATTAACAATGGGCTCTAGTCCAGTAAGCATGATTTAGGTTACAATTCTGATTCCAGTCCAACCTGTTCCTACTGCCTAGGACATGGGTTACTTTGTTTATGAAGTTTGTCTGTTTCAAACTTAAAGCATCATCAAATTGTTTAAAAGATTCTGCCTTTTACTGTACAGGCTTTATTTAAAATTAGAATGTATTCCTATTAATTGTATTTTTTCTTTGTCTTCAATGAAGTTTAGTCACGTTATATTTTAAGTGGTTCCTTTCTAAATACTTTGGATGGGTTTTGAGGCATGTGTAGCTTTATCCTTATCAGCCTGTACATATTTGTCAACTGAATGAATGTGATTATGTTTCCATAAAATATGTGAAGAATAATTTTGGCTGTCAGTTACATAGGTTTACTTTTAATTTAACTTTGTTTTAATGTTTTATAACATTTAAAATTTTCAGAACCAAATTGAATTTGTGGGAAGACTTCTTATGGATTATTTTTCCTGGTTGGGTATGAGATTTGCATCTAGGATTTGGGGTACTGGTATACCAAACCACTTACTCTTGTCTGAAGGTCAATCGTAGAACCATGAATTTGAATCATTTGGTAATTACGAATAATATAGTTTCTAGAAATTATGTGAGCTTACCAACAAAATGGCCACTTTTGCTCTCCCTGTAATTTTGCCAAAACGTTATTTCCCTTTTTTTCCCCACATAGGATCATATAAAATGCCTTTAATTGAGCTATTTAACTTGATTATGTGAGCTTACCAACAAAATGGCCACTTTTGCTCCCCCTGTAATTTTGCCAAAACGTTATTTCCCCTTTTTCCATATTGGGTCATATAAAACGCCTTTAATTGAGCTGTTTAACTTTTGACGTATACATTCCTTTAATCTTTGACCTCTTATTTAAAATGAATCATGGATTTGAGCTTTCCCCTAGTTAGCTCACACTGCCTTTTACTGATAGTACACTAGAATAAAGACTTTACAAAGCTTTTTTAAAAAAATGTGCCTGAGTTTCCTAGCAACCAGTATTGCTCTTCTCTTGCTATATATTTTCTTGCCTTTTCCCTAAATCCCCTCACTCTTGACGAATCCAAACTATTAAATTTAGTTCCTTCATCTTTCTCTCTTTATCATTCCCTCCCACTTTGCCATAACATCCTGCCTTCTTTCCCTCTGAGAATGAGCTTCTCAACATGGGAAAGGAGCAGTGGCCTTTCTTCAAGCGCAGCTTGTCTTCTGTCCCTACTTGTCTTGGCCGGCTGTTAGGGAAGGAGGTGAGGTTTCAGGGAGGCTCTGAGGCTCACACCATAGACGTGGAGTTGCCAGCACGTGTAAGTGGACAGACGTGTGTTGGCAAGCGAGGAGGCTGTTCTCTTGCCTGAGAACCCTAACAAAGTGAAGGTCAAGAGTTCACGTGGGATCATCACAAGTTCAACCCCGTAAAGGGTTTTCTTAGGAAGAGTAGAGGTGGACGAAAGCTCATGCTAATTCTGCTCACCAAGTACGTGTCTCTGAAATGCAGCCGACTGTAGCATAGAATATACTGTAGTCAGTGTCTGTGTAGCAGTTCATGTAAATGGAAAGCATTCGCTTGTAAATGGATGGTTTGGGCTTTGAAATTAGATATGAGGACAACCTAGATTTTTATTTTTTTGGAGGCAGTTCCTGAGGCAGGTTGCAGGGCGTTGAGTAATGTGCCACACCTAAACTATGTGACTTAGCCAATGAAAGCTAGGCTTCTCCTGGGTCCTATAGTATGGTTTCCCTGTCCGTCAAGAGCCGGCTCAGCAACCAAACCCAGATTCCAGGTGTGGTATTCCACAGTCTTTCTGTAATTTGTAATCATAGAAACAGAATGTTCCTCCTCTTATTTCCTCCCTGCCAACAGTTTCTGGGTGGGTGAATGTCAGTAGCTGGAGTTATTTTTAAAGAGGAGAGGTGAGGCTTGTCGTGCAAAGCTGGGAAGAGGGCGTTTGTTTGCAGAGCAGAGCTGACATCAAAGTGTAGATTACTGCTCAGTGGCTAGGCACTTGTCCTGTAACAGGTAATGTTTAACGTGCCAGTCACAGAGATCACAGAAACGGCGTATGCCGGTGATAGCACCACCGTTTATGCTCTGGAGGACTGAAAGGCTATACATGCCCGTGTATTTTTTTTTTTTTAAATACATGTATTCATCGGTCTTGCTGTCTCCTTTTTTTGCTGGCTGTCATTGGACTTTGAAGCTTGGAAGTTGTATCATAAAAATTTTGTAACCTTTGTCTGAGACAGAGCTCTGGGCTAAGCAATCACTTTCCACTTTTTTTTTCACAGGATAATATAAACGTTTTTTTGAAAGCTTGTGAACAGATTGGATTGAAAGAAGCCCAGCTTTTCCATCCTGGGGATCTACAGGATTTATCAAATCGAGTCACTGTCAAGTAAGTTTCACTGGCTGCTTATATATTTTTTTAAATGTAGGGCTTTGTGGCTTAAGTGAAAAGAATTCCCGAGAGTTCCTGGTTACTGAAAGATCGTTTCTCTCTCTGTCTTCCTCTGTTCTCTTTCCAAAATAGGCTACTTAAAAAAATAGCATGGGGACTGAGACTGGGAAGCTCTCTGTAATCGATAACAAGCCATGGTCTTATTTTAAATCTCCCTGCTAACCGAAATGGCAGTTTATATTTGAATGCTTGTCCAGCCTGGTGGTGTTCAGTTGCTAATGGTGACGCTACTTGTTATACTTATAAAGCTAATTTAAAAGTTATGTAAGAACTTGCAGAGTAAAAATACTTATTTAAAGATAGTTTTTATATGTTTGGAATTGAGACCTAACTGATAACATAAAAATGAGAGAGGGACAGTGATAAAGCAGAGATGCCTAGGACCAGCAAGCAAAGCTTACCTTGTTAATTGTGGCTGGTTTCTAAAAAATGAACTGTTTTAATAGTATGGATGAGAAAGTGAAAGTGAGGGGCGGTGAAAACGTGTGCAGGTGATGCTGTTGGGTTTTAGGTGGAAAATGGTGTTCATGTGTTCATATGATTTTGGGAAATCTGGTTTTGAGCTTCTTGTGAGATTTCTTTCCCTATAAATCTGCTTTCGGTGAATCAGAATAAACTCCTATTATCAGATAAATGTGACAGGAAAATGATTTAATTTTGTAATGATGACCACCTCTTTATATTATGGCTCTTAAACCTAATAAACATTTTTTTCCCAAGGAAGAAAAATAGAATAAAGTATTTATCTATAGCAATAATATAAATGGAAAAAATTAGTTTCTATGATTTCAAACGAAGATTTAGTTTATGTGGTTAATATCCCTGTTGTAGTACCTTCAATGATTATTAAAAAATTGACTGTAAAATCTTAAATGGGAACATTTTTTTCTAAAGAAAAGTAACCCTGTATATACATATCTTTTAGAAGTATAACCTAAAATCCCAGGTAGGATTAATCTCTTCAGAGCCTAACAATACATATTTTTAAATGAACAAGCCATTTGAACCTATATGCTTTGAGTTCTGTTGAATACGCATTTCTAAGCTACAGAGCAATGATATGTGCATGGCAGGGATGCAATGGTTTGCATTTCTGATTAATTCTGACTCATTGAAGTAGTTGATTGATCCTAAGTTTCAGTGTCAGTGTGGTGTTTTTACTTCTGCAGTATGTGGGGTCATGTTTAATTTCCTTGAACAATAACGTTGGAAAAACTTGTTTTATTTTTCCTAATTGTCATTCTCTCATAAGACCTATCTGATGGGCAAAGAGATTTTTGACTTGGAAATTCTTTTTAAGCTGTCGCTGTCGAATGTCTTTTCCCCTTAAAATCATACTGTTTTGAAACTGGATAGCCGATGTTTGAGTAGGCTGGGGACTAGGCAAAACTTGTTTGTTGGCTCCTAGTTCCAAGGGTGCTCTGAGCAAATCTTGCCCTGGAGCCTTGTGGAATGTTGGGTCTAAAGTGTTTGGGAAAAATCATATCTGGGCCCAGGTATCAGTGAAGTTACTGACAAACTGAAACCAGAGGTCACAGTTACAGCTGTAGTAGGAAGTATGCAGAACAACTTGTTTCAGTTGAAACCACAAGGCCATAAAACTAAGGTGTGCCTGAGGAGTACTGGCCAGATCCCCCGAGGGAGAACAGTTCCCCTGACCACTCCATCTTGTTGGGACTGGAGCGGCACCGGCGTCCACCCTGGGTCTGCTGAGATGGAATCAGGGGGTTAGGAAACACTGGCATATGGCTTATTAAACAATGTTGGCCACAGATATTATGCCCTGAGATAGCATTCTGAGGAAGCAGGTTTAAAGGAAAGCAAATGATTGCTTAACTAAATAGTAATGCATTTCTTTTTAGTTTTTGTTCTTATGTAATGTGGAGTCTCCAGTTGGTCAAATCCTGCCCTATTCTTATTATAGATTAAAGGACTTGGAGTTGGTTAGACTGATGGTTCTCAGCTCGGGGCAGCTTTGTCCCCCATGAGATACTTGGCAAGACCTGGAGATACTTAGGGTTGATGGGGGGGGGGGGGGGGGGGGGGGGGGGGTGGGGAGGTGCTACTGGCATTTAGTGTGTCAGGAATGCTACTAAATGTTCTTTAGTGAACAGAGCAGTCCCCATAACAAAATTTCTGGTCCCAAATATCAGTGGCGCTAAGGTTGAGAAACCCTGACTTAGACTTGGAGTTCCTTACTTATTTCTAGTCTGCCAGCAAGATAACCATGTGGGCAGGAAGGATGCTGATCGACAGTCTTGCTAAAATGTAACTTTTTACTGATTAACATATAATAATTTATATATTTCTGTGCTAGTATGTTTGTCCATCTAAAATGGAAGGATTACTATAATTTGCGTGCAGTTATGTGAGTACTTTGGCATTAGTTTGCTCATCTGTATACATTAAAATTAGCAAAGATATGGCAAAATATTTGATTATTTTAAATGCTCTATAAAAATTCAATGTCTAAGACTGCATTAACAGTTCATAGACCTGCCGTTGGTCTTGCTGCAAGTACAATCTAAGATATATATTTGTGTGACATACTGAGAGGAAAGAGCAGTTTATTCTCTCCACATTGGCACATGGGAGGCGTTTTTTGTTAATGGACAGGAGTGTTAAAAACATAGTGGCATATGGAGCCTAGGAGAGTTGTGTGTGGTGAGAATGTGTAGCAGGAGCAATCAATTTAAAGATCCTTTGCCAGTGAGTAATGTCGATAATCCAGACCCTAACCATAAACCCTAACTTTCCAGCAATTTGAGATTTACAATTTAATTTGCAATAACAACGTTGTACCAGTCAAATCGAACTAGAGTATTCTTCATTTTCCTGTAATTATACATATTAATATGTGACATAATTTTCTTTAAATATGCATAGTAACATGGGATCTAACTTTCTAAATGGATTATTTTACTTCTTGCAAGATGTAGTTTAAATTTTTCCAAGTATGTTTGAATTATTGTATTTACTTTGGGATTCATGTATTCCATTGGTACTTTTAATTTTGACATCCCTGACTTTAATGGGTAGAATACATCTTTACTACTTTTCTTCCCAAAAGGCTAATACATAAATTTGTGACTTCATCTCCATGAATGGTACATTGAAGTTAAACTTTTCCTAGTGGTTTTTTGAGATGTTTACATCCAGATGTTTACTGAGGCCATGACATTTACCTTCTGTACTAATGAATAGCTGCATCATTATTATAAACCATGTTGTATGTTCACACTAAACTCAGAAGCAAACACAACCCACAGAGAAGAGGTGGTGTGACTCCCACTTCGCTGTGCCTGCACACTCTCTATAGAAGGCCTGAACATTAAAGGTTTTGATTTTATGTACAGCAACTTGACTCATAAACTAAGTCCTGTATTTAAACCATTGCTCTAAACAATTATATTGAAAATTTTAAGCTGAGAATTTGACATATTTTCAACATGTTTTTTTCTGTCTACTTATCATTCCAATCCAGTTTTTAGCACTTCTTAGATACATTCTGTTCATTATGCAGTTACAGGATGGCAGTGTTTTTGAACACAATATTTCAGTCATGCAAAGAAAAATTCTTTTCTAGTACACTCTTTCATTATTTAGGGTATTAATATTAGGTTTAAAATGTAACTTTAAATGTTGATATTGACTGATTTTTTTTAAAAAGGTCTATTTATCAAATGGAGGGTACAGAAATGAAAAATCTTTTTATTTATTTATTTATTTTTACACATGCTGGTTGCCAAAGGAATAGTAATTGGAAACAAAACTAGTGTTAACATATTGCCTTCGTGAAAATAAGGGAGGCTCAAAATTGTATTTTAAGGATTTAACTGTTCTCTAAAGCCTCAAAAAGGTGCTTGATTTTAAGGCAATACTGTAAGGTTATTTCTTAGCAATTGGGTTCCCAGATGGCACACTGTTAGCAGTCTGCCAAATTGGGCTTGAGATATTAATGTGTTTATGTGTATTGATTAAGATTTTTATTCTTGTAGGTAAAAATGCAGCTACTTTGATGTAATTTCTACTTTTTTTCTGACTTAAACCTGGTTTTACATTTTTTTCATGTCTTTCAAAGGAGCTTCTCGACATCTTAATCTTTTTTTTTTTTTTTAAGTAAACTTCATAGTATCCAAACTTGGATCTGTAACTTGAGCATGGGAACTTCCACCTGTCAATTCATGTTACTATTTTAGGATGTGCTCTTCCTCCCAAGCAATTGGGAGAGAGTAAAACAGAAAGGAAGTTTGCTGCACCACACGCATCTCTATCCCACCCAGTCCTCCTTTGGTGTTAGGTAGGTGCTGAAAGGGGAATGTTAACTCTGTTGGGTTGCCAAAGTCTCTGTTTAACGCCAGCAGTGCAAAGGGAAAGCCATGTTTTCAAATGTTCTTTAATTGCAAAGTTGGAATATCTAAGAGTCAGCTTAGCTTCAGAGAAAGGTTGTGGGAGTGAGGCAGGTCTATTCCTGGGACAGACTGTAGAATAACTAAAGTTTTATCTGGTATTTGTTTCTCTCCATTTCTAGTTCTTAATTTATTTCTTGGACAGATAAACAAGTTTCTGGATACCAGCTCTCCTTCAGCTCTCTACTTTCTCCACGTTATGGACTTTTCTGGGCAGGGTCTTTACCTTCACAAGGAACCCGACTTGTATTTATTGCTCCAAAGGGTCTCACCTGGGGGCTCATCTGATTTAGAGTTATGAGTCAGTTCATGGGAGAATTTAGAATTTGCTTCTCCTGACCAGATAGCGTTTGTTTTATAGCAACGTCTTTCAAAAAGGGTTAAACCGAACAGAGAGATGTTTTCGTTGTGAAGAGAGTCTTCTGTTTTTCAGATTTCCTGTAGGGATTCTTGTCTTTCTAGTTATCACCTATAGGGCTGCCTATGTTGAATTACTCAAAGTTTTAATAATAACGTGCACTATAATAT